AGTCAGGGGTCTCCAACCTTGGCCCCTTTAAGACTTGTGGACTTCAAGTCCCAGAGTTCCTTAGCCAACTTTGCTGGCTGAGGAATGCTGGGAGTTGAAGTCCACAAGTCTTAAAGGGGCCAAGGTCGTAGACCCCTGGGTTACAGTGCTGCCCCTGAAAGTCTCTGAAATTGGGATTTTTTTTCCCTCCCCCCCTCTCTTAAGCTGGAATCCGAATACCTCAAGATCCCCGGGGAGCAGTCGGTCAGCGTGGTTTTTATCAAGTGAGTATCCGGGCTGCTTTGGGGCAGAGTTCGAACCCACGCCCTCCCGGAGGAAATCACATACGCTTGCCAAAGCAGCAGAGGTGGGAGTAGTTTGGGGGGGGCGACTCCCGTGAAAATTTTACCCGTCGCTTTCCCGTCCTGCCCCGCAGGGAGATCGATGGCTACAGCTTCGTGGAGCTGGACGTGGGCTCCGAAAGGAACACCGACGATGAGCAGATCCGCGAGGTGCTTTTCTCTGTGGTGGCCAGCGGGTCCATCGCCTCTTACCGCACCTCCCGCAGGGGATTCCAGTTCCGACGCCTGGGAGCAGGTGAAGCCACCCCGCCGACTCTTAACCGGGGGGGGGTGTGCGCAAAAGCAGGCGGGGCTGTGGCGGGTGGAAGTTTGGGAGGGAGGGACCATCCCGTCCTCCCCCACCGGCTCCCTCCATGCCGCTAACTCTGAGTTTGCTTCCAGCCCAAACCCCGCCTCCCCCCATCTCCGAGGCGCCGCCAGGTGAGTCCGGGGCCAGAGAGGTGCAAGGGGGCCTGTGTGCAGCCCACCAATCTGGCCGCTGTGGCTGCCTGGAGACAGCCGTTCCCCTTTTTCTCTCCGCGCGCCCTCGGCCTCCCTGGCATCTTGGCCGGAAGCGAGTCTTAGCAGGGAAGACATTTGTCTCCCGAGGGGGCTCCGGTTTCAGCAGCTGCAGGGCGCTAGGCCCCATAGGTGGAGGAGGGGGAGGAAGAGAAGGAGGAGGAGGAGGAGAAGGCTGGTCTTTTGTCCTTCTAGGCCCAGATTCTGTCTGGAACTGGGAGTCCGTCCACCCACTTCCTCCTGCATACCCGGCCTTCCCTCCCTCCCTCTCTCTCCCTCCCTCCCGAGGGCATTTACAGGCCTCCTTGCACGCCTCTCCTTGTGCTCCTTGTGGATGTGAGTGTGTAGCACGTAGATCTTGTCCTTTGATGTGACGGCTTGCCATTCCCAGACCCTCTGGATGAAGCTCCCAAGCAGGGGGCTCCACCCAAGCAGGGTGAGGTTGCACAGCTATGTAACTCTAGCGCACCCCAGGAGTCCAGTAAGCACTGCCTGCCTTCCCCTCACCCCTCCTCAACACCCCACTGCCCCAGTTCCTGGTCTTGCTGCCGCATCGTCGTTGTGTGTTGCTGAGCCAAAGTGGGAAGCGAGAAGATTTACCTGAAAAGTACACCTTGCTGAAATTGCTTCTTGCTTCTAGACTGTGTGTTGTGCTGTGAGGTTTGCGTTGCGCCGCCCCTGAGGAGCAAAGCAAAGGGGTTGGCAGCCTGGTGGGAGGCTGGCGGTGTTCGCTGAAGGGCCAAGGTAGCGGGAGTGGCACATGGGCTCTTGTTCAGAGGATGTAGTCCTACTCTGGCAGCAGAGCTTGAAAAGGTTTGCATTCCAAGGGTCGTGGCAGGGTGCAGATCCCCCAAGACAAGCTGGAACCCAAAACCTGATCATTGGGGGTGTCAGACGTCGGATTGCCTCCCAAAGTCCTGCCCACATAACTGGAAAGGCTTTGCTTTGAAGGCAAAGAAGTAGGAAAGGCATTCTGGCCTCTGGGTCTTTCCATCTCCCTGTCTCCCGGCCAGGTCACAGCCACCTCCTAAACCCCAACCTCTCCTCCAGTCTCCCCACAGATCCGGCCCTGCACGGAGGACGAGTTCTCTTGCCTGAGTGGAGAGTGCATCACCCGCGAATTCTTGTGCGACCGGCGGCCGGATTGCCGCGACATGTCGGACGAGCTGGACTGTGGTGAGCGTTTGAAGCTGTGGGGGGCGGCTTTGGGCTGCTGGTCCCCTTCGCCGCGCGAGTGTGTTTCTCAGCTGTGCTTCTCTCCGCCCCGCAGATGAGCCCGAGCCCCCTGAGTGCGCCCAGCAAGAGTTTGCCTGCGACAGCGGTGAATGCGTTCCCCGTGCATTGCGTTGCAATGGACATCCCGATTGCGGAGATGCTTCTGACGAGGATGGCTGCGGTAAGTGTGAGTGTGGGTGGGCATGAAAATCTCCCCCCGCCTTCTTGAGAATCCCCTGTGATTCTGCCCCTACCAAGCCTCTCCTGTGAGGGAGAGGGGTGAGGTTTATCTTGGGATGCAGCTGCTTTCAATCAACACGGAGGGAGTCGGGTTTGGGCTCCGGTGTTGCATGGGTGTGACAACCTTCTCCTGTCTTCCTGAGAATCCCCTGTGATTCTGCCCCTACCAAGCCTCTCCTGTCAGGGAGACGTATGAGGTTTATCTTTGGATGCAGCTGCTTTCAATCAACACAGAAGGAGCTGGGTTTGGGTTCCGGATGTGGCATGAATGGACTGTTGCAGTTTGTAAAGCCGAGTGGCTGTGTGAACCGAGCCTCGCCATGCCTTCCGCTCTGTCTACTTTGGGCTTCCTTCTGCACCCGGGCACAGGCGAGAAACACGGTCGGCTGTGACCTCCTCTTGACCCATCGCTTGTCCTCTCTGTTCCGGCAGAACTCGAGAAGCCTTTGTTGACCACCTCCTCCCCGGGGCCCAGCACTGCCCGGCTCCCTGCCACCCCATCCCCCATCACCACCCGTCGGGCGCCGGTCACCAAGCCTCCTCTGGTGGGGGTCTCCAGGCCCCCACTTGCCCCTGGATCGCGCCCTTGCCAGAAAGAAGAGGCCACGTGCTCCGACGGGCAATGCATCCGCCGGGACTTCCTGTGCGACGGCGAGCGGGACTGCCCGGATGGCAGCGACGAATTGCATTGCGGTGAGTCCCGGGGGATGCGGGTGTGCTACGCGTGTAGGTGTGGGGGAGAGAGAGAGAGAGAACCGCAACGGTAACTCTCCTTTTGTCGCCCCCCCTCCAAGGCACTCCCTCGCCCTGCGAACCCAATGAGTTCCGATGCCGGAACGGGCACTGCGCCCTCACGCTTTGGCGCTGCGACGGGGACAATGACTGCGCCGACGGCTCTGACGAGCTGGACTGCCGTGAGGATCGAGAGCTCGGGGGAGGGGGGGGTGGGTTGGGGGAGAGGGGGGAGACTCTTCTGCAAATCTTGAGTCCACTGGGGCCGGGTTCAACGTAGCGCTAAAGCAAGGCGAACGCTCCAAACGAGGAAATCACAGAATTGGGTTTTAGTTTGGGAAAGATTCGGCTTGGAATTAAGGCCTCGCGGGGTAGCCGGTAAAGACTCCTGATATAGAAAGTGTTGATCCTCCCCCCCTTCTTTCCTCCCTGCAGCCACCAAGGGCCCCGGAGACACCTGTGGCCCCGACCAATTTGTCTGCCTCTCCAGCCACACCTGCATCCCGGCCAGCTATCAGTGCGACGAAGAGGCCGACTGCCAGGACCGCTCGGACGAGATCGGCTGCAGTGAGTGG